ACTATTAGTTAGTGTTTTTTTTTCTTGAGGGGTTGCTTTTTAACAGCAGTATGTAACTTTTCCAGCATTATGAAAGTTCTAGAAGTTTACATCTACCTACCACAGTAAGGAAGGTCAGTTTTCTAAAAACCGGAGTTCGTATTTGACCTCAGCCATGGGTGCATATCTTACCAGTTTTTTATTTTTCAATGATACTAAGCAAACACGTAGGGATTTTGAAAAGTGTTGAAATCTCATTTCGATGGATACCTTTAGTTGAGTAGGATGGAACGCCTCGCAAAAAGTCATCATAAAGATAACGAACACAAAGTCGCATAAGAGAGATTTTAGTAACTCGACAATATCCTGTATGTGGTTATTTACAGTCTTATCTTGGAAGTATTTATATTTACTATATTTCATTTGTTAAGAAAAATCACTCTAATAGAATTTATTTGCCTTAAAACTCGTATTTGCTTCCAGGTTTTAACCTTCAGTACGTCTTTGAGCTAGTCGTAAAATTTTTAATGTCACCTTTGTTAGTTGAAATTTTTTAACACATTGCTGGTCACTTTACATTGTTTTTCTCCAATGATTAGTCACCTACGTCTTTTAAGTAATGATTCAGTGAAGGCTTTGGGTAAACCCTAGGTTGTAGAAAATCCTACTGTTCTAGAGGGTGAGGTAGTTGGTATCAATACGTCACATTAAGTGTGGGTAATTATCATTTTAACGCAGCCTGTTTATCCGATGGTCAATGCTGGGTTGTAGTAAAACTTTGTTTCTTACGTTGCATCTATAGGCACTTTCAAATATACTTGTTTAGAATTTTTCCAATATATAAACATTGTGGTGGTGGTGGTGTTATTTTGCTGGATATGCTCAATTTTAGCTCACATACTAATGGTGACCTATAAAAAAGAACCAAGGTCAATTCTGTCACACACTTATCACCTTAAATGCCAATTATCGCTATTAGTTTTCCGTGTTATTAGTTGTCTGATATAGATCTTACACTGTGGAGTACATGTTCATCTCATCCCGCATCACTGTGTATAATGAGCTCGCCTCTTTGAAATTTAGTTTCAAAGTACAGGCTTGCCATATTTTGAGGAGGAAGTACTTAATATTTTCGTAGGTCAACTTATCTTTTTAGTCATGTATTCAAACAGAAAATGAAAAGTAGTATATATGTGTAGATTTCATGATTGATCATAGATTGATATCATTTAGAGAACCATTAAAAACCAGAGTGTACTGGACTGCTGTTTCATCCTACTTTGGGATGCTTCAGTGATGGGCATCCATGAGCCCACTGGGAGTCGAACTCAGGACCTTCACGTTCCGAGGCAAGTTCGTCGACCATTCAGCCACTTGAACGGTATCAAGTGACCCATGAAATCTGACTTCCTTAAATTTTATATTACAGCTGAAGCAAGATTTTTATGCTTTGTGGACTAACATTGATTGAATAATTAGTCGTCCTAAGAGCAAATGAAAATTGTGGTGTCTATGATGCATTTAGTTATTTTAGCGCAGAGTTTTAAAATAATTTGGTGAAACACCTCAAATGATTTGCTAGCAGAACACTCAACCGATGGTTGCTAGCTTGTCTTGGTAGTGTCGCTTAATAATGTCCATTGCCTAACGAACGATCGTGTCTCACTATTTTGTCCAGGTAATAATTTGGCTTAAACACTTTCAGCCAATGAGTCCCTGGCTCGAGCCCCAGTCCACCTAGTCCAGCCTTGGTTATCGCGTTGTATCATCAGTCCTCACACGATGTGACTCACATAAGTGAATTTGATATAAGTTATTGGCAGGAGAAGACTGTTCCATCACATACATGCGTGGACTCAGACCATACACTAGCTAGTGTACATTACTTTCGTGGTTGATTGGAGGGAATCAGTTACGTTTCTAGCTTTTTGATCAGAACATTTTCTGAGTTCAGCATAACTCATCTCTGAGAAGCTAATTACTGTATTCCACCTATGATAAATGTTAGGTATGGGTTGCAGCATTGTTAACGCTGAAGTGCTACCGAATGTCAATCGTAAAGTGCTGTATCAGAATAAAGTATTGAAGGTTGCCCGTAAAACTTTGATGAAATGTATTCAGTTGCTTAAGTAAATAATGGAAGATACGGAGGGTGACTAGAATTCCTGTGAGTTCTCATACAACATTAAATAAACAGTTTATGGAAAGTGTGGGCAGCAAGAAGCTGAAGGATTCTGTGTTATAGCATCGGTAATGTTGAGGATTCTGCAAGTTTGATTGGAAGTAGGGAGAATCAGTTGGATACGCATTAAGTAACGTATAACAAGATAGAGGTGTCAGCGAATGCAGCATTTATTGAGATATTTCAATGAGATATTATATTTGTGAAGTGATATGGCTCAAAATCGTTCAGATGGCTCAGATGCATTCACTCTTTGTGATTTATCATATCCAATAAAACTACTGTTTTCCCATACTATTATTCTTCTTCCTTCACTTTTCTGTTCATTATCTCTCTTTTGAACCTCACTTTACCCTCTTCTCGTGCTTTGTGTGGTACATGGAGAGTGAGAACTCGAACTGCTGCACATCTGTGCAAAGCTCTTTGTTGAAACCAGTTAGTCAGGCATAGTTGTGTGAGTAGAATGTGGCGAGTGTGACGAGCCATCTAACGACTTCATGGTGATGAAAGGTAGATAAAGCAGCTAAGTTTCTTCTCCAAATTGGCATGTTGCAACTTACTTGGGGGGAAAACATTAGGATCTCTGAATGATCAGTCCTACACACAAAATGTTGATATGCTAAAACTGACTTGCATATCTGCATCTCGTTGCCTACTCTAATACTTTCTCACTATGTTGCTTCTATTACTATTGATTGCTGATGTTTCCGGCCATAATTCCTTAGCTCACTCTGATTACTTAAATTGTGTTTGCACTGTCTATCTATTGATTAAAGCTTCAATTGGATATCATCTATATTGGATCTGTCATTTTTAGTACTTTGCTCACTATAGCTTTTGTACTGTCTGTTGTGTCACCTTAAATGGAAGTGTATGAATATATGTTTGTGATTATTGAATATGAAACCGCTTAGGAAAACAAGACAAACTTTAGACAACTTAGGTGAAATTGAATAGTCCTACCTGCAGAGTAAACGTTGACTGCTTGAGCTGCTGGTCAGTAGTTGAGGTATTATGACGGTAAGTTTTTCTCTATCAAAACCCAATCTTCCAAATCGCTGGATTATTCAGTGATAATTCATTGCAGAATATCCCGCACAAACCGTTGTTTTTGCTTTTTTTCAAATGGGATGTAATGACCGAAGTTTGTTCAGTTTGGTTACAGTACTTCATCTGGTTCAGAAAGTAGTGATGCGATATTATTAAGTTGAAAATGGATATTATTGACTTTTAATACTATCTTTCGGCCGTTTTAATAGATATATATCTTCCTAAATAAGTCCTATGCTTTCCTTTCTCAACTCTGTAATCACTTTTCAATGTCTGTTTAGTCTTTTTTGGTCGTTTTCAATATTTTAGTATTTTATACTCATATCATGGCAGTTTGGAATCATTTACGGTATTGTAAGTGCCAAAGGGAAGTATCTTAGTGGTTACAAATGACGTGTCTGCTTATTGAGATATCTCAAGTACGTTTTCCATTATTGGTAATTATTTTTCACTTATTTCTAATTCGATTTCTTTTAATTGTTTACCTTGCAGCTGCCTTGAATGGATCTTGTGAAGGCGGAAATTGCAAGGCAACGCGAAAAACTCGCGAGTAGTGGACTTGTGGTATGTTAAAAACTTTGATTTGTTCTTATGATCATGGATTTTAGGGTAACAACAAGTTCTTCAAACGATCATTATTGAAACAAAAAGAGGAAGAAGAGTATTTAAGTAAATCCAAGCGTAATAAGGAACAAGCAAACAACTATGAAGATTATGATTATAAAACAAAGGTACTAATGTTTTCCTGAATATGTAACTTTTTGTTATAGACAGAAGAGGAGGATCTTTTGCTGAAAAAGTTCGAAGAAAGAAACCGAGAGGAGAGGGAGAAAGGAAAACTTATGCCGCGCAAAGAAGTAAGTGCGTTTATCACCTTAAACTTAGTTTCTAGGTTATTCGCCTTCTAAGGGAACGTAATCAACCGATACGATTATTTGGTGAGAGTGACTATGATACTTTTCAACGATTAAAAAGAGTTCAACTTCTGGAACCGGAATCAAAGGGATTACGGAATGATCTTATCGCTGCGTTAGACAAGGTTGGTTGTCAATTAATTTTGTCATTGTTGTTAGATAGATGATGCAGAAGATGAAGAGTTTTACAAATCCGGTCGTAAAGGACCGGATTCAGAATCTCAATCCACCGAAAGTTCGTCAGTTTCTTCTGCTTTGGACGTTGAGACAAAAAAGAATACTCTGACAGAAGAAGAACTAGAAAAGATGAAAGTTGATTTGGCCCGCTACGTCACATTAAAAGAAGGCACGGCTACTGATGACGCAACAACTGCAGTGGTCGCTATCAGCAAACTTTCACCAAATAATGTGTGTACCAATGATTTTGACGAAGCTTTTCATGAACAAGTAATCGACCATGTCCTCCGTTATTTGAAGGTAAAGCTATCAATATTTCCAAGATTTTGTATTCGGTCAGATAAATATACATTTATTCCGTCACGGTATTAGAAATGATAAGTTATCTTTATTGCGTTCACCAATTCTTCATGAAATTAGAGTTGTTCACTGCGCTTTTTTACTGAATATACATGGAATGCAGGTGCTCTAACTTCACCTAGTATACTAACCTGTCCTAAGCTTCGAAAAAAAGAGCAAAGGATGGGCATTGGGACTAGCAACCCCACACCAGAAAGTCAACCCAGACTTTACAGAATCTTCAGTACCCAGAAAAATATCGGAGAGATGAAATGATAAGGGCAAGTGGAAGCATTCTTCTTTCGATGAAAGCAAAAAGAAGCATGAAGACATGGTATATCCGATTGCCATTTGAAGCTAGCCAGGAAGCTGCTTAAACTGAAGAAGAGATGAGAGGATATAGCATATAATTGCTGATAATTTGAGAGAGCAGATTGAATGGATGTGGACTCTCCAAATTGTTAATTGGAAGGTTAATAATGTAGTCCGGTCACCTAAGTGGCAACCAAGAGCACACTGAGGGAGATGTTATCGTAATGTCACTGACGTCATCGTGGGCACTTATGTAGTTGCAACCGATATCTTCCAGGACAATGCCAGAAAGGTTTAATTCAAAAGCTTGGAAAGTTACAGTTATCCAGTACTACGCCCCTACATGCAACTCAGAACAATTGCAAACATTAATGGAGAAGATCCCAGACGGTCACATTAAAATGCTAATAGACGCTCTGAATGCCATCCAAAACCAGATGGACTTCATCTCAATCTCAAGGAATTTCAGACGCAACCTGCTGGACACAATATTGAGAAGAGGTTCAGATGCGGAGTCAGATAATTATCTAGTACGAGTAACCATCCTGATTAGGTTTAAAGCCTTCTAATAAACTGGCGATAGACTACAATTCAAGTTAAACACCCAGAATTTGAACTACAGGGGACATCATCGCTACAGCTATCAGGACAAAGTCGGAGAGACTATGTAGCATCATCTTTTACTTATTTAAGCAGCGTCGTTTCAACTAAAGGTGGCATGGATAAGGATGTTAAAGCCAGAATCAGACCCGGAAAACATAACAGACATTCATTACTCTAAAATCACTGTGGAAATCTTCAATCAGCATAAAGACTGAGATTCGGATTTTCAATACTAATGTCAAATTATAAATTATTTAAAATAATTCATGTGTGTTTAAGAAAAAACCTTGTTTTGATTTTATCTTAAACACGCTGGGATTATTTTAAATGATTTATAATTATTCAGTTTGACTCGGTGCTCAAATTATTGCAGAAAATTCGTAACATCGACGGTCTGGAAACTTATAATCTTAATTTCATATTAATGTTCTTAGTTAATATGGGGACTTGTCACGAAAAGAGCCGATGGATAGTGGTGGGACAAGGTACATAGGTCTACAGAGAAGAGCATGAAGTGGAGATTCGCTGTTGAAACCCTATGTTCTGCTAAGAACCCAAGGGTGTGACAAAGTAAAGAAGTGATTCAACACACATTTAACAAATGTGAACAAACTGAATTCTTGAGTGTAGTGTAAAGTAATGCAAACAAATGTAAAAATCCATTCGGTGATTTACTGTATTTTTGAAACGAAGTATATTAACACAGTTTATATTTACAATGTAGCGAATAAATTGTATCACATTTCTTGGTTAATCATTTAAATGTATCTCTGCAAAATTCAGATCCCCAGGATAGACTATTCATGCACCAGGATATTAGACACATCTACTGTGTGAGGGCTCGTGATATTACCCAGTTGATCAAGCTAAAGTAGCTGGGTCGGGATGCGAGTCTGGGGTCCATTTGTAGCAGAATGTATACTTAAGCCAATGAGCCAAGCTGTCTCTATTTTTCTGGGAAAGCGACAAACGCTAACTATGTAGCACAAATTCATCGGCGGCGAATACGTTCTGTGCTGTGTGTCCCTCATTTATAGGCTTAATTAAACCGTTTATTTAGAAGAAGTAACTAAAAATGCATTTATTACAAATGCAGTAAGTTTTCGAACACATTTCTTCATAGTTTCCAGATGACATATTGGGAACTAAACTGATTAAATTCCAATGTATTAGACTGAAGTTATACAGAAAAGTGCTTAGTGGTTTGTCATTGATAAGTGTTTGGCATAAAAAGGCGGTTTTCACCACTGAAATCTTTGAATTAAATAAGCCAGCAGACCATGTGGACTGGGATTTTCACGATAAAAGATAGTTGAATAGTACCGTATTCCACTGGTACAGATTGATTGCTTGTTTCTCAGAATAAAGAGTAACTCTATTTAGATACTCCTATCTCTTCATTCGCCTTTAGTGTGTTCATATTATTTTAAAAACTATGTCAAGGTCAATATAAGTGCAGCTACAACACACTCTGCCCAACTTTTGTTATCATAATTGCCACACATTTGTTTTACTTTTTTCTCAATGTTTTAAACATCTCATTTAGATATGAATATACACCTTAAAATGAGTTTATTGGGAAAAAGATTCAATTTTTTTTTGCTGTTTTAGGTATTATTTTCCTTCTAACTGAGTAAGGGATACTTGTAAGAGTAAAATACGTACGCTTTGAAATCTTTCAATTTTCCTATCATTCACTAAATATAACTCACAAATTACCTGTAGTAACTCTGAAATTCCACTCAGACTATTACCCTACTCCTGTTTACATTCTGGCATTTAATTATCCCTTAATTTCATCAACAAGAAATACTAAATAGCCGTGGTTTATTTAATGGGAAGATTCTTTAAGTTTGACCAGTTCATATTTATAGTGTATTATTGTGTTTACAAAATACGTGTGCCTTTACTGTCACCTGGATTCCCCGACGGTAGATTGTGACATATTGTTTTTCACCCATTTACTTTAATTGGATCTACGTATATTTTTTCACAATTAATGCTTTTACTTTTTTTTCACTTGATTAGTTTCTTTTGTCCAAATGGGGTCATGCTCTAAATACTAGAACTAAAGAGGAAAAGCTTTCTTATTCCGGAAAAATGGCTAGTGCAACTTACACACAGACTGTAGAATATATCAAGCCACTTCTTCGTGCACTTCAAAATAATGTAAGTTTTGGTACTTGCTCCTCACTAAACTTCATTCTCCTTCCAGCGCTGTAAAGGGGATATTCTGAACTCCTTGGTTAAAATTATGGTTTTGATGATGGATCGAAATTATCTAAAGGTTAGTTTCACTGCCAACGTGTTTTTTAATAATATATCTGTTGCCCTGACCTAGTTAGTGTTTAAACATCTGCAACTGGAGGAGATTTCGTCATGTTGAATATTATGTCCACACCAGTATTTCTTAAACTAGGCAACTAAACTATCTCTCACTTACTTGACGTTCGATGAATTGTCTCTCGTTTGTGCTCCAAAATGTGCTGCTCATAGTTTTTCTCGTAATCATGCTGTTTAAAGCATATATAATTTAAAGATTCAAAGATAATATACACAGTTGGTTCCTACCATTTCTAGTTAGTATTATCTAAAGCTGAAAATGTACAAAGTGGACTTTCTTTCTGAATAAAGTTCAGAGGTGTATTCGGTTTACGAGGAAATGAGCTTTTTATTTTCCTACTTGCTTTCACTAGTCATTGTTACTATTTCAGTAGTAGGCTATATTAGTAATCGGTACACCAAATTTTCTTCAGATTTGTGGAACTACATTCAACTCGTGCATAGGTCTACTCTCAACACTGTACTGTTTTGCTTTTAGAAAATTAACCTTTTAGATTACATCACAATTAGTAAGGACGCGTAACTTATCGCCAAACTTTCAACTAGTGTGTTATAGGCTCCTAATTAATCCATTCAATCTATCTGGACATGGGTAACCCGGTAGTATCTCAACAAGTAAAATGGTTAAATGTACCTCGTAGCCTAATGCACAAAACCGTACGAGTAACTGATTTACACTGACTTGAAATGGTAGAATTTTTGTAGCCGGTCTCAATCCCGGAAAAAAGACCGAAGGATGGGTGATATACTACAATTCAAGTTCAAAACCGAGTAACTGAACATTGGAACTCTAGGGGATATGTTCAGTGCTTGAAGTGAAGAGTGATAGAAAAGACACAAAGCAATTCTACGACACTTTGGAAACTGAAGCACAATAGACTTCAGGTGAAACAGGCCTCAGAACATTATATCAGATAACCAGGTCTTCATCCCAGAAAAGATCAACTCAGATGAAACCAATAAAAGATATTCAGGCGAACCTAATTTCCAAAGAGGAGAAACAAAGTGAACCCTGAGCTGATCACTGCAAAGGGTTCTTGAACTGAACACCACTTGAAACTTGTCAAGGAACAGCATCAAGCTGTAACCAAAAAAAAAAATAAATAAATAGCAGGCGCAGAACTTCCAGTGAACAATTTCACAAAAGAAGACTTGAATGCTATAAAGTTACTCAATGCTACGCGGAAAGTCAGCAGGACTAGATAGAATTTCCCCAAAAGCACTTTAAACGGACCTAGAAATATCAGTGGGGACTATTATAGAAAGTTTGAAAAGAAAGGGAAGCCCCTTACCCATTGAAAGTGATGATGCCACATGTCGAATGATTCAAGATGGAAAACTCAGAAATGCTATTGACGTGAAGACAAGGGTAAGTAAGATTGTAGTTGGCTGGATTATGCAGTAGACCGTGAGTAGCATGTAAGCCCCATCCACCCTGCAAGGACTGAAACATATTCTGGATACAAAGCTGCGCCCCAAACGAGCTGGATTCAGGAAGAGTAAGCCATATGAGGACCAAGTCACAAATCTACACATCATCATTGGACAAAGCATAGAATAGCAATCAACTCTCCATCTCAACTTCATGAACTTTGAAAACACCTTCAACAGCGTTGACCACGAAGTAATCTGGAAACTGCTTCAACACTACGGAGTGCCCCAAACCTTTATCAATCTCATCAATAACTATATGACAATGTCACAGGTGAAGGGATCCACAACACAAAACATAGCGAAGCCTGATGATATTCCTGGTATTGGTCGACTGGATTGTGCGGCAGACTGTGGGGGGGGGCACACAGAGGAATACGCTGGACCGACAAGAAGACTCTAGAAGATCTAAACTTCTCAGACGATTTATGTCGAATGTCACACAAACTCTAAGATCTACAGGCGAAAAACAACAATTTGGCAGCAGGGGCTAACAGCGAAGACAGGGACTTCAAGTGAACATAGAGAAGACAGAGGTGATGAAGACAACCAACCACCAACACCACTACTAATAACAACAAGCACCAGTCACTACCAACGGAAGAAATTTGAACGAGGTCACTTATTTAGACAGCATAGTTTCAACTACATGTGGCAGGGATGAGGATATTAAAGCCAGAATCAGACCTGGAGAGCAAAACAGACATTGATTACTCTGAAATCAATGTGAAGATCTGCTGCAATCAGTATAAAGAACAAGATTTGGATTCTCAACACTAATGTGAAATCATTGCTTCTATGCAATTCAGAGGCTTAGAGTGTCACATGCAGCAATTCCAACAGTCTACAGACTCTCATCAACAACTGCCTTCGCTCGATACTGAACATCGAATGGCCAGGAAGAATAAGGAACAAGGAACTCTGGTGGCTAGCCAACCGAGAACCTATTGCCAAACGGAGTGAAAGGAGGAGATTGGAATGGATTGGGCGTTCGTCGGGGAGTCATTTGAGTGACATTACGCTCCCTGGATCCTAGGAAACAACATTTTGGGCGCCTGAAAGTTGTGTGGAGGATATGAGAGATTACTGGAGATCGTGGAGTCAGCTAAAATGAACTGCAGATAACAGGATAAAATGGTGTTCTGTTGAAGCCCTATGTTCCTCAGGGTATTCAAAAGAATAATAATAATGATAATATTGCTTTTTGAGCCTATTTTCCAGACTCCAAATCGATTTATTTCGAAATATGTGTACATAAGGAGTAGACCCATGAAAGTGGTGCTGAATGAATTCAACTTTACTGAATGTATTTCAAGTCTAAATAGTTTTTTCCTATTTCTTCTAAGGGGACTAAGTAGTATTCCTTACACTTTTTGATTAATAACCAAGTGTGTAAAACTGCGTTGCTTCACTGAGCTACATGGTATTTATTTTTTTGATTTAAAGCTTAGTTGTGCACACGTACGCACACTGCATTTTAGTGCTTCCATAATCTACTGATAAGTATATTTTGTGGATGATATTTTGCACTCGTGTCCCTTACTACTTAAATCAATAATTTTCCTTTTTCAACTACCGTTTATTTCATAATTCAAATTAATTTTCTTTTAAAGGCTAATGATGCGTATTTAGAACTAGCTATCGGCAATGCTCCTTGGCCATTGGGTGTAACTAACCACGGTATCCATTCAAGAACTGCACAAGAAAAAATCTATGCCAAGAACGTGGCACATGTTTTAAATGATGAAACACAACGTAAATATATCCAGGCTATAAAAAGACTAATGACACAGTGTCAAAAGTTCTTTCCATCTGATCCGTCGAAATCTGTCAACTATATGGGCACTGTTGGGTAGGCTATGGTTCATCTTGAATTTAATCCTTTTCCATGTGTGACGATTATGTACATAATTATCTTTCAGTTTGCTTTACTTACAAAAGACTTATCTGTGGTGTGTAAATACTTCTGAAATAAATTTCTTAAAATCCTTATTGTTTTTAATTGTACAATACATACTACTGATAGAGTCCAGCAAATCAACAGTGCTAGATGCTATTAATTTGAAGCTATGGTGATATTTAGTACTGTGGTCACTGTACTTAGCTCAAAACGATCACTTTTGTTGTTGGGCATAATTAATAATCACGTCTCTCATCAACATGGTTGTAAAAGTGGAAATTTCGAGTATGTGGACGCTGTGGTGTTTGTACCTGTCTCACAGAAAAAGCAACTATACTTCTAGGCCTTAATGTGCTATTATTATTCGTAAACTATTTCTAATTAGATGAACGAAGGTGCAAAAATATTCTTGCATACATCAAAGTTGTAATGTTTTATTATTATTATTCTTTCCTTTAATTCTTAAAGGAAAATAGGGCTTCAGCCGTGCGTCTCCATTGCGTTCTGTTCTCTGCTAGAGTCTTCATTTGGCTCCAAGTCTGCCCACACGTTTTCATTTCCTCTTCACGTGACCTCCTCCAAGTCACCCTCACACTGACGACCAACTCGCCACTTCTCTTTTGGGTTCCACTCGAGCAATGGCTTGTCTAGTGATGTCACTTGATGGTTTCCTCAGTGTGTGGCCAATCCATCTCCATTTCTTCCTGCCTATTTGTTTCACAATTGGTTCCTGCTGTGTTGGTTCGCTCATTGCCAGAGATCTCTGTTGCTGATCTTTTCTGGCTGGCCATCTGATCTTGAGTATTGAGCGAAGACAACTGTTAATGAAGGTCTGTAGTTTGGTTGAGGTGCTCTTTATGACGCGCAGTGCAAGTCTCTGATCCGTATAGTAGCACTGACTTCACATTGGAGTTGAAAATCCGGATCTTATTTCTGATGCTGAGTGCTGTTGACCTCCACACAGACTTGAGAGTAGTGAAAGCTTGTCTTGCTTTTCCGATTCTTGCTTTGATATCCTCGTCAGTTCCGTTTGCCTGTAGTTGAAACGATGCTTCCCAGGTTGGTGGGTAAGGGAGGTAGTTTCTTTCAGGTTCCTCCCATTTATGCTGATCGTTGTCTGTTGTTGTTGTTCTTGTCCAGGAATCTCGATTACCTCTGTTTTCTCTATGTTCACCTGAAGTCTTTGATGCTTCTTCTGTAATGTTTTGGTAGATTACAAAATCGCTTAGTCGAGAAAGGGATGGTGGTTTCATCCGACTGATGTTAGTAGCTGATTCACTTCATTCGACCTATTGCAACAAGAAGTATAGCTTGAACTGCCTTCTGCATAGCAGTCATTATAGATGCTGTTGGTGCTATAAGGTATATTTTAAAATGTGCGTTGTTGAATTACAGATATATATATATATATATATCTAACTTCATGTAACGAGATGATATCAAACATTGGTCTTCACTTGACCGTATCCAATATCGAGGCTCATGGATAGGGTATTATGCTATTTCTCAGTCATAAAAATGTGTATCTAGTTTAGAGTATGTGTCATAATGAAACTGCAAGAAGTTGTTAATAAATGGACGATAAGATGGATTCTCCACGCTGCTGTAAATAATGGCGTTTTATGGCAATGTATTGAACTGACAAGCCGATATCGAAATACTCCTTACAACAGTACAGAAATTGGAATACCAGTGGTACATTTCTGTACACATCCATTGTTAGATGTTGACGGTTGTTTCTAAGTCGCATACAAACAACATAAGAATAATCGAATGGTAAATTGGACTCTCAATAATTTTTTTATTCTGGCAGTTGCTTAGATAGTGCATTGTTCTCTATTGTTAGTAGTCTCTGAAAGCTGATTTTAACCACACATTAAGTAGATTCTCTCGCCTTTGATTTGGAATTACTGTTTGGTTGCAGTAGCGACAGTCATTGAATGTTGCTAACTAAAAAGGACTAGACGCAAGTTTGTTTTCAGAACAGGAATTTGAAATAGGCTGGTACATTCAGTAGTTTCCCAGCCTAGCTATGAACATGTTTCTAAGTCGTTTGCCATTCCGTTATATTTTTTGATCGCTTTACTTAAACTTTTGTTAAATAATACGTGTTGGCTGGATTCAATATAGAACCTGGCACCGAAGTGCAGCAGTTCGAGTTGCCACGTTCCAAATAGCACACAAAGGTAGACAAGAAAATGAGTGGAGGGAATCAATAGAGTTTTGACAAGTATAAGAGAGAAACAGAATGAGTAATGGTAGAAAGGAATATGAAAGATTACAGAGACTGAATACATCTGCGCCATTGACAACGATTTTGGGCCATGTCACCTATTGTCTCCAGCCATTGATTCTTAGAGTCCCGAGGGCCCCGACCCGGAAGTCTGCATCTCCCTACCTGACTCAGTTTAACTGTCAAGGATTTCATGGATTGATGAGGCCATGTTTTTGTTTGGCCACCACTTATTCTTTTCCAACCTGCACCTATATCAGCTAGTAATTCTCGTCGGGGGAGGCGATGGTTAGGCATGCGCAACACGTGACCTAACCATCTCAATCTATGTAACTTTATAGCCTCTTCGATTGATTTTCCCTCTTTGCCCAACACTCTACGCCTATCGTCAACATTACTTACCTTATTATACCACCTAACGTGAGAAAGAGATCGTAGACATCTATGATCAAAAACAGTCAACCTTTTCATGTCTCCAACTCATATTGGCCATGTTTCAGAGCCATAGAGAAGGACGGAGCGAACTGCTGAGCAGTACACACGTCCCTTGGTTGATAGTCGGATGTCACGCCTACGCCAGAGATGGTGTAAGTTAGCGAAAGCAGCCCGAGCTTTTGGGATCCGTGCTGAGATTTCGTCACCAATCAATCCGTTGGTGCTGATACAACTTCCCAAATAGGTGAAGTGGTCAACATGTTCTACCACTTCACTCCCTATCACTAAGCTAGTAGGAGTTGACGTAGTCCAGTCCTGTAGCAGCATCTTACATTTTACAGGGACGAATCGCATGCCAAACATATGAAGATTGCTGCTCAAGGTGTTCAGAAGACTCTGCATTTTGTCAGCATCCTCCCCTAACAGGACTATGTCGTCTGCATATTCTAAGTCGATAAGACTATTCCCTGGTAACAAGTCGATTCCTAAGTCGTTAGGTTCAGTTAAGGATACTTCCATTAGCATATCTATGATGAAGTTAAACAGAAAAGGAGAAAGTGGACATCCTTGACGGACACCACTGGTTGTTATCAATTCAGATGACAATTCCCCATAAGCCCTTACATGGCTACGTGAGTTTGAGTAGAGTGCCTTGATTAGTGCAATGTACTTTCTTGGCACTCCCTTCACAGTCAAACATTGCTATAGTACCTCTCGATCCATGGATTCGAAGGCCGCCTTCAAGTCAAGAAATATGGCGATTGTTGGACGCCTAAAAGTGTCTATGTTCTAGGATCTGTCGGAGAGTGAAGATATGATCTATGCACCCTCTACCTGGCCTAAAGCCTGCTTGATTTTCTCTCGTTTATTCCTCCCGAGTTCGGCTTAGTCTGTGCATGATTACTGAGCCTAGGATTTTAGAGACTATGTTCGTCAGGCTGATCCCTCTATGATTATCACATGAGGACTTGTCTCCCTTCTTGAATATTGGTATAATAAGTGACTTACCCCAGTCTGATGGAACCGTCTCTGATCCCCAGACGTTACCTAGTACGTGTACTAGAAGCCCGATGGAATTTGCCACTATGAGTGAACTAGTGTTTTGAACTGACTAACTAGCGGTCCCATTTGATACATTTTTTTCTTAAGTGTTTAGAAGAATTAAAGGAATAACGTGTGAAAAACAGGTAGACAGGAATTCAGGCATTCATTTATTCCAAAAGCACTATGCTTTATATAAATGCAATCAAACGGAGGACTTTCTAACAGAAAAGTACATAAAAATCTACATTGATTAAAACGAGTAGAATGTCAAAAATATGTAACATTCAGCGAATTAACTGTTGAGAAACCAGTAATACAGTGAGAATTATGAAGGCCTTAGCAGCTATGGATTTTAGTGAGATAAGCTTTAAGTCATCAGAACAACATCGTCAAACATTTATGGGAAACGTGTTACCTTGAAAATGATATTTAGCGATGTTAATGAAAAGAAGAAGACATGTAGTTCAGCGAAGAGGCTCTCTTCGGTGAATTTATTCTCTGTTGTTGTACAGTCTCATTTATAGACAAGAAAAGTGATGAGTTGTCAGAATCATATAAGTGCGATTGTACTGATAAAGAAAATGAATTCCTCGTTCACCTACTTGTTTTGTTCTTTTTGTTAATCTCTGGATGAAGATTATTCATGAATCTAGAGATGTGGCATAAATACAATGAAATCATGAGCATATTAAAACTAGACCCAGCATAAAGTGATATGAGATACGGCTTTCCCACTCTAAAGATGAATAATGCAAGTTTAAGTGGTTCGATGTATTAGTTCTTCGATTGGTTTAGTTGAGCTCGTAACTTGTCTACATCACAAATTTAATTTCTTTTTAGCGTTTGAATTATCGTTTCATCTATGTGTTGTGCCATGATGCACGTTTCGTTATCCAACTAGGATGAAAGCATTTCATTAGTTATTGGCGATGGTCTCACGGTACAGGTCATTGTCTTTGTTCTCGTTTCTTTCGATGTTGTTAGTAGATATTTGACTGATGCGAGCGTTGCTTACATCCAGGTAGGAACAGAAGATCGACCGAGCTTAAAAATACGTGTTTTTGTGCAAATAGAGCTTATGTTCTGACTTTTGGTGGTTGGAAGAGGTCGGCAAAAAGTCCTGAACTTAGCTTTCGTGCCCGTCAGTACTCACCGGGAAGGCGTATTTGCGACCTCGAATAAACCCGTGTCCCTTCTCGGATTCGGATCGGTGTCACTCAGTGTTGCAGTCGTAGATGTTACCA